TTTCCAAATTCAAAGTGAAACCATTCCTCCATAAAATTACTTTGAAAGCTTTTATTATATTTATTTATGTAATGAGGAAAATTTATAAATTTGTTTTCTAAATTGAAACCGTAATCATGCTTAATTGCCGTCCGTGTGCATATCTATCTAGGAAAGATCCGGTCTATAAAGTTATTTTTGTCGCTTAACTTTCAAGAATTTTGATTACTTTTGCATGTTTTAATTAGACCGTCACTATATTTTCTACATTAATGCCACTTCATTAAAAATATAATCATATATAAGAAACAGTGTATCAATAGAAATAAGACGCAAAGCACGACTTCTCTTTGTTTTACAAAATGCTTATACTTTTATCCATTACAAGATTGCCATTAGTTTCAAGTTACATTGTAATATTGTCCCTAGGGGTTAAAAAATAAACCGCGGTCACGGTGCGTTGATTTCATCCCTAGTCAAGGTAAGATTACGTGCGTATTGAAGTGTTCTCTCAACAATGTTTCATTTCACATTTACGACATCCAGTCATTTCTTGGGTCACTCTGAGTCACAAATAATGAATTTCATAAATTCTATAGACATTACAAATCGAGAACGGGTCAAAACGGACCCCTAAAAACACCAAAGCTGGGATCAGGTGCCAAAGAGGAGTAAATATTACCTGTTGACTCTCTGTACTCCTCCATGACACCTGATCCCACCTTTGATGTTTTTAGAGGTCCGTGTTTGCTCTGCTCCAGATTTGTATTGTTTTAATTGATTTTTGATCATGATTACTGTTCCTTATCTCCATATTTCCTTGATCAGCTAAACGGAGAAATCCATATTCAAAACCGTAGAAAAAAAATGGCCTAACAATTAGTATGAAACGTGATCTAAATTCGACCCATTGATAGGTGGTAAATACTAACAAGGTCATTGTTCCGAACATGGAATTTTTTAAAAAGAAACTATTGAAACCTCTGTAATATACACTTATTTGTAAGTATCCTGCACCAGTTTGAAAATTGATCATATGCAGAACATGCTCTTGTGTACCAAATTAGTTGGGAGACAAATACACCATACGCTGATGATAAGGGAAGATTGCTTTTTAAATATTGAAAGTATATCAGATGTAAAAGCTGAAAACATCCTATTTATTATAAAAATGTTAGTTTTTCATTGACGTCTTTATTCAGTAAAACATCAAAATATAAAATACAGTAGAACCTTGTTACCTCGATCTCAACAGGACCAAAATAAAACTTGGTAAAAAAGATATCCGAGGATTTGAGATAACACGTGAAAAGGTATTAAGAAAAGATGGTTGGGACTGCCAATTCACTTCGACATATCACTGGTAGTGTTCGAACACTAAATTCAAACTGTAGATATGCAGACTGTTTTGCACTGATTTACAAATATTTGCAGTATCCCACAATGCATCGTTATCCAATCATTGTCAATTATGCCTATCATAATAACAAGTTACAGTGTATACAAAAAAGTCTACAATGAAGACTAGAATGGTGTTTTCCAAATTAATTAAATATGGTAATGAACTACAGTAAGCGGAGGTTAAAGTTTTGTTTTCATGTGCTGTGACGAAGTGTTCAGAATCCTCACAAATAGATAACAAAATACCACAAAGGGCAGTATGGCTTGATTTCGAAGTATTTGTAATTTAAAAAAAAATGAAGTGTTAATTATTGTGTTCATACCTAAGTAAATTAATTGTAGAATTTAGACGATGGAATGCCTCTACATAACTTCTCCCTGGGTTTTGAAAATGATAATAAGGTAGCTACCCATACCAGAGGTCATTGCCCGCTAATTTAAAGGTAAAGGGCAAAGGATTTTGTCATCTTCGATGACAATATTGAAGACATTCTGTCTTTATTTCAGTATCAAAAAATATACGTGAGGTCACCCATAACAGAGATAAATCTGTTGATTTTTTTCATTGACAAGGCTAGATGCAAGTCTTTAGTAAAAAGGGATGAGAGGAGGCGGCGAACAGTTTAAAGAATAGTCCTTGCTTTGAATTAATCGGTCAAACAAGAGGCCCTTGGGCCACAACGCTCACCTGAGTAACTTAGCTGCTGTTCTTCAGCAGATTTTCCCTTTGTAATACATATTGAGGCCCCACCCTACCCCCAGGGGTCAAGATTTGAACAAATTAGAATCTACACTACCCCAGGATGCTTCCAGCTTTTCTTGCCCGGTGCTTCTTGGATAAAAGATTTTCAAAGATTTTTCCTATATATTTCAATGTAAAACTTTAATTCCCTATTGTGGCCCCATCCTACCCCAGAGGCCCATGATTTGAACAATTTAGAATCTACACTACCCCAGAATGCTTCCGTATAAGTTTCAGCTTTTTAAGGCCTAGCTGTTCTTGAGAAGATTTTCAAAGATTTTTCCTATATATTTCAATGTAAAAATTTGATTCCCTACTGTGGCCCTACTCTTCCCGGAGGGGTCATGATTTGAACAATTTATACTACCCCAGGATGCTTCCATATAAGTTTCAGCTTTTTCTGGCCCGTTGGTTCTTGAGAAGATTTTTAAAAAAGATTTTTCCTATATATTTAATGTAAAACTTTGATATCCTATGAGGCCCGCCCTACCGCTTGGGGTCATGATTTGAACAATTTAAAATTTACACTACCCCAGAATGCATCCATATAAGTTTCAACTTTTCTGGCCCAGTGGTTCTTGAGAAGATTTTTAGTGGCCCTCCCTATTTTTGTCTTTTCTTGATTATCTTCCCTTGTAAGGGGCATTGGCCTTTCATTTTAACAATTTAAACCCCCCTTCATCCAGGGATTCGATTCTTTGTACCAACTTTTGTTAAATGTGGCCCAGTGGTTGTTGAGAAGAAGTTGAAAATGTGAAAAGTTTACAGGCGGACGGATGGACAGACAGACGAACGGACGGACGACGGACAACAGGTGAGCAGAAAAGCTCACGACCTTTTAGCTCTGGTGAGCTAAAAATGTCACTGTAACCAATCTCACAATCCTAAAAACACTATAAATCGAGAACAGGGCTAGACAAGGACCCTGGAAAGTGAGATCATGAAATATGGAGATTACGAACAGTTTTCAATAGCTCAATGTCCATTCAAACAATACAAATCGGGAGCAGAGCAAACACGGACCTCCCAAAACATCAGAGGTGGGATCAGGTGCCATGGAGGAGTGAGCATCCCCTGCCGACCGGTCACACCCGCCGTGTGCTTCTTGTTATGATCTGGAAAAACAGAGTGTGTAAATAATGGCCTAACAATTAATATAAAAAATGTCAGTCAGCATTTGACTTAATGATAGGTTGTATTTGCTGACAAGATCATTGTATAGACCATAAAACTTGCAAAATGATGACCATAACGAGTAATTTTTGATCATTTGACATTTTATGTCAGAGAAGATAATAATATAGTTTGGTGTCTTGCAATCGGATGTCAAAGTCAGAAGATCGAAATAATCAACATGACTGTTAACAATTTTATAAGACGTAGTAGATCGAGTTTGACTTTGTTTTCATTAAACAGGTAGTGGTATATCTACAATACTACAATAATTGTTAAGCAAATGACTTCCTATTTCCTAATCAGGCAGATGAAGATCTAAAAGACGATAATGCATTTTTGGGGTTGGCTCAAACGAAGGACTGACTTTCTGGTTTTCTAGTTGCCAAACTTTCACAGAAAAAGTAGCACAAATATAAAATCGAAAAGTTATATTCATAGCTTTAGCGATACATTACTGTCTGCCAAACACCTGGTTTTTTTAGTCCCTCAGTTTTTGTTTATTGCGATTTAGTCGAGATTTGTTATTGACACTTAATATGCCCTGACCTATTTGTTGAAAATATTATTATGCATATTTACGAAAAGATTTAAATTTCTTGCGCGCATGATTTTTTGAGGGTTGATTTGTCAGTTCTTTAAACGCTTAAATTAGTTTACAAGTTGCTTGAAGAACGAGACTTATTTTTTGAAGTAAGTTGTTATTCTTACATTCACCTATTCTATTAAGATATTAGACTACATTTTGAATTGCTTATGAAGCATGATTATGACGCGGCTATTTATTATTTTTTTATTTAAATGGAAATGGACACCATGAATTATTAATTCATCGCAGTATTTCCATTTTTAAAATATTTTTAAATGTTAATCAATGAGGTTAAATTGACCCAAATTTTCGTATTCTGCAGTATTTTATATATTATATTTAATACTTATATATTATAAATATTATTTTACTTTTTTTAAAATGTCACTTAAAATTGAGAATTAGTTCATGATATTTTAAGCAGTTCATATTCACTGGAGTAAAAAAAAAAAAACATTGCAGACGATCGAGTACTAGTACATGTATCTTGTCTCTTACTTCAAGTCAGTAGAAACAATTTCAATCTGTGAGGAAGTGCACCACCGAACAAAAATTCTTGAAAAGAAAAAAACATAATAATAATAAAACGTTATTATTTAGGTCGCACAAGCGTAAATTAGCTTTGTTTTCCATTGTAAAGTATATACTAGCAAAATTATTGAAAAAAAGGGGGGGTCCATGTCTATGTAATTTCAATTCACTTAATGTAATTGGGACAGAAAATGTATAAATAATGGTATAAGATTTAAATATACACGTGAACATCGAGGGTAAAATTGAGGGTAGATTCTCCATGTATAGGACATTAAAATGTCAGATATAAATGGTAACAGAGAGAAAGGTAGCTGCAGATCCGTGGCTCGCTGGTCTGAAAAAATGAGATGGGCGACTCTGGTCGTTTCTATTTCTTTTGTTACTTACCGGGGTATTTACTAAAAATAATTCTCTATTTATCGTGAATTTTAATAAAGTTAAAATTTTAGGTAAAATATGAGTTCTTTGTTTAAGTTAGAATGAATACTCATATATCTAAGTAATTATTCTTTAGTGAAATTGTGGATGTAGAGCTTATTTGAATTGCATTATTTCTGCTTATTTTTGAAATTTTTGTTCTAGAGAATCCTTTGAAAAATGGCGTCAGCTGCAAGAATTGTGGGAATCTTTGTTTTGTTTTTCATCACCTTCCTTATCGGGCTCTTGCCGTTTGCGATAGTAAGGTTGTGTGAGAAGAAGATGTCGAAGGAGAGAATGAAAAGGTGGATTGGAATTTTAAACTGTTTCACAGGGGGAATATTTTTTGGGACAGCCATTTTGCACTTGCTGCCGGAGGCTAGAGAACTGATAAAGGAGGCCATCTCTTACGAATACCCAATCACAGAAGCTGTTACCGGATGTGGATTTTTAATTACGCTAACACTTGAACATCTCATTAGTTACCATGGTTTCTCACATGTCGGCCATTTACATGACACAGGACATGAGAACAAAATAGAACACAATGACGACGCATGGACGAAAAAGGATACTAAAACCGACGAAAAGTCTCAGGAAAAAGCAAATGGAACGGTAGAATCTGTCAAGGTGGAAGTTGAGCAACCTAATTTTAAATTCCTAGCTTTTCGATCATTTCTTTTACTGTTAGCTCTGTCATTTCACATGATATTTGAGGGTTTGGCCGTCGGACTCCAGACAGAGGAGGAAGATGCTTGGATTTTACTGGGGGTTCTCTCCCTTCATAAGGTTGCAGTTGCATTCAGTGTGGGATTCCAGCTTGAAGAAAATTTGAAGAAGTTCAAATATGTGCTGTTGTCGTTGTTTCTTTTATCTATTGTCGCACCGATCGGGGTCGCTATTGGCTACATCGTGACGGAAGCGGGAGAAGATGCTCATGGGCAGGATATTGCTTCGGGGGTTTTGCAGAGCATATCGGTCGGTTGTTTCCTTTACGTGACTTTCTTTGAAATCCTTAATAATGAAATACACATTACCAAGGAAAGAAGTCATTTAAAAGTCTTGTTTACTGTCCTTGGATACATAGTTGTCATTGGCATCCAGTTTGTTAAGCATGACCATGAAGGTCATGACCATTAGATGATGCCAGTGTTGAAGCGAGGATTATGTTGAAGTTACACTCAAACAACTTGTGCACTATATTCTTTTGACCGGTTTTGTAAATTTTGCTACTACATTGTATTATCTATATATTTATAATTGTGTGAAATTCAATGTAATCCCACGCATTCATTCTTCTATTTATCTTGCCATGATATCTTCAGTAAATAAATGTATTGGGGAATATTACCCAATCTACTTTTCAAATGATATTACATTTGTCTAGCGTATTAAGAAAGAGAACACCAAAACAGCAAAGAAATAACATTTTCTGCATGTGATTTCATATACATGAGAGAAAAGAGGGAAACTATACCGAGGATGAAAATAAAAATGTCATATATCGGTAAGACATCACAGACTAGTACTCTGTATCAAAATCTTTTTTTTTCAAGCCATCATTTTTTACATGAAAAGCCCCTGAAATTTCGTTGAACAAGCAAATAAAACAAACGAAAAATCAATTTATAAATCATAAAAGGAACAGAAAATGATCTGTAAAAAATATTTTTTTAAGGTTAAAAAGGCGGTCAAATTTTAGTCGTTGGTGAATTTGTTCTTCGTTCAACTGAATAGCTTTAAGATATGCTTAAGATGAAGCCTATATAAATCAAATTATTTCAGATGTCTAGATTTTGGGGGAAATGAATTTGTACTAAATATTATAAACAAATAATTTGGAAATTATTCAACATTAAGCAGATTTACGATTACTGTATATTTCCAATTATTATTTCTTACTGATGAAGGTGGTGAAAAATAAACTTTAAAAATAATAATAAAAAGATGCAAGTATTTTGTTATTTACAGAATTCATGAAAATAAAAATTAAAGGAAAATATTGAGGTTTTGAAATTAAGATATCTTTAGAATTTTATAAATATTATAATATTATATAATAACTCCTTATATATATATATATATATATATATATATATATATATATATATATATATATATATATATATATATATATATATATATATATATATAATTTGAAAAATCACCGATTTATTTCACGAATTAAGTAGAATAATTCGATATCAAAATGTCCGTAATTTCAAAAAGGCTGTTAATATTACCACTTATACGAGCCTGGTCTCGGATAAGTGAGTTTATTTCAGTAACCCTAGTAATATTTATCTATTCCGGATAAGTTACGTACATTCGGATAAATATAAATTTTCACCCTTAGTCACAAGCTATCATTCCGGATAATTTAGGTCCATTTGTATATAGTCTAATAATAAGTTCTTTTCTACCTCCTTTCTAGAAGAATCGATTAAACGGTAAGGTCATGGAAAATTTTTGGGAGTTAAATTGTGGCAATGTTTTAAAATTTTTAAATCAAATAAGTTTGATTTTTAGTATAACTATTGAGGTTTGTAGTTTCAAAGCAAATTAGACGTATCGATGGCGAAGTTTGACTTTGGATTTGGCCTGATTGGACTTTTTCGCAAATTGAATTGATTTTACGCGATGTTGTAATTTGTGAGACTTTACAGGTAACAGGGATATATTAAGATCAGTTTGGGGGTCAAATGTTGGTTAAATTGAGTTATTATTTTTAGGAGCGAAATGTTAAACTTCGAGTCCATCATAGCTATAACGGGGGGGGTGGGGGGGGGGGTAATTTCATAAAACACGGAATATTCTCAGAAGCTGGGCTTACTAGAAGAATTTTAGTTTGTTTTCTACATAGATTTATCGTGCTCGAAGGAGGTATATTGATTCGCATTTTAGAAAATGTAATCGTCTTAAATCGGAGAAAGCATTCAGGAGAATTTGTGCACTTTCACTTTTCAAGTAATCAAAGTACTGTGTGTACTGAGAGGAGGTTTATTAAATTGTGTAAGTGTTATGCTCTATTTGCAGACTTGTATCATTTCATTTGTTTGTTGGTCTTTTGAAAAGGTTTGGAACAGTACTGTTTGTTATCTTTTCCTTTTTTTTTTTTTTTTTTTTTAAGAAAACAAAAAGGTGTAAGGTTTTATGGATGATATTGTATGAACTGATTTTCCTATTACATAATGGGATGGGAGTTAACTTGTATATTATGTTACACAACATATGAGAGCTCATTTGGTCCACATGGTCAATTTCTGCATAAAAATCCAACTAATGAAAGCAAAATCACAGTTTATTGAAATAGGATGAAAACATTTCTTATTAATTTTGCAAGCATTTGTCTCACAGTGAGCAGTCAAACTGCAGCAAAGCTGTGGAAAAGTATTTTTCATATGCATTAGAATAGGTAGGCAAATTTGCAGGGTTCAGGCACAAGCAAGGAGCAAATTATATTGGTACAAAAGGCAGTAAGTACATAAAAAACCATAAGTAATTGATAGTGATTACAGATGTATGTTACCATGATTATTTATTTTCAGGTACATTACCAAAAACAGGTCAACATTTTTAATTTTATTTTTTTAAGACAGCTTTATCAGTGAGTCAACAGCTGCAATGGGCACAACATTCCTTTCCATCAAAGCATGACCTTATCACTTCCCAAGTAATTCATTAGAATAGTAATTAAAGATTTGCAAAAAAGAAACAAGTAGGAAATGTTGCAGTTGTGTTAATACTAGATATAAAAGTGGAATTGGCAAATGATATAGATCCTAATCCAGCTTCAATTAATCGCAGCTATTAGATTACATTCTAGGGAAAAGTATAATTTGGTTAAGCGAGTCTTTGTGTGAAGGGGGGGGGGGATATTTCAAATAAACTGGTAATTTTTTTTTTTAAAAAAGATGGTCAAAATCAAATTGGTTCCTCGTCTCCGTCGGATGGACTTGTTCTGATATTTAGTTAAGCTATTAGAGCACTGTGATAGGCAGATTAATAAAAGTGATTGGTCAGGAGTCTCACTAGGATAAGCAGCACCCAGTACTTGCTCCGTATGTTGCTTATCAGGCTATCTTTGAATGGATAGTCTGCTAATGTGTTCGAGGAGACGGGGAAACAAAGCTTGTCAAATAATCAGTTAAATTATATATGAATCAATTATTATTATTATTATTTAAAGATTTAATGGGTTGATATGAAATTGCAATATTGAATTTACTAGTACATAAGAAAAGTCAAAACCAAGGAGTTAATAATGTGTTGTCAAAACAATATTGATCCATTTATTTAAGGTACACTGACATTCAATTTTAAGCTAATCTGGTAAGGGATATCCAAGATATGTCCAGAAGTATGCCTTATAAAGTATACCAGTTTTTTTCCACCGCACATACCCATGGACAAAGAGTTGCAACGTACTCAAGAATTTGTTTTCTCGGATATTTTATTGTGTTTATCTATTTTATTGCACACCTATGTCAGTGCCTAATGGGGATTTAAGCCTTGAGACTAATTTTATCATTCTGTTTAATTTTTACCAAATACATGTATAATTGTGTGTAATACACAATGGTCCACGATTATACCTAAATTTCCCAGAGATAAAACTACTCCCTTACAGATATTTTTTGAATACTCAGAACACTTAGTATCGCAATTACCTCGAATTGTATAACTTACTGCGGCTGTTTTGCAATAAAGTCAAGAAACTTATAAATCTCCATTCATTTTCGGGGCATAACATGTTGTTTACATATATTGTTTACGCTAGTGACAATTGAATGATACGAACAATAAGTATGCCGAAGGTACAATGTAATGCCGATGGTTGCACTTCAGAAAGCAAGGCAAAGTATTCGGAATATTTAGACTTCCAAAATAACGTTTATCAGAAAGAAAATGATTAAACTTTTATTAGAATAGTCTACTTAGCGGGAAATATCCACAAAAAATTAACACAAGAGAGCTAGCATTTTAATTTCATAGCGTGGTGCAACGAACATTTAGCTAGGTATTTCACCAGGGCTTCTTTCTTATATTATATGTCCCTTAAAAATCTGCAGTGATCGATCTCATAGTGTAGTCAATAGCTATAGCACATTGTCCTCAGCTATTAATCAACGTTTCCTACCTTCAACGCAAAAGAGTTTCATTACGTTAAGTAATAGCGATATAAAGTATTCTTCCTTTTGTTTGAAATAGGTTAAACTACCCTTATGGCATGAGGTTATATAAAACTAAAATTAGTCGTACTTTAAAACACTTAATAGGTGATGATTAAATAAATAAGCCTTGGCAGTTATTTTTAATTAAAACAGTTTAACGATTCGAATGTAGTTGCAAGTACTTCCATGACCAGTCATAAAAGGTGTTTATCCTTTTTTCAGGGAAACTTCGAGCAGGTTTAGTCAGTATTGGATACGGCATATTATGCCCATATGTTTTATTATTTGTAGAATACAAAATTTAAATCTCATTCACTACAATTGGGGAGCAACCGCTAAAGCACATTTGCCACCAACATGCAGGGGGGTTATTTTAGCTTTGAAACGCTGGCTATAAAATGTACATGTTTAGGCATCCATTAAGTAGTTGTTACAAGGCTCACATATTTTTACTTTCTTTCATTTCAATGATTTTTTTTTTTTTTTTTTTTTTTTTTTTTTTTTTTTTTATTTTACTATGGATTATAGTTGTTTGATAAATTGTGAAGAGGAAATATGATTTATGCAGCTAGGGAAATGAGAAGGGGGGGGGGGTTAAGTACACAAATATTGTTTAAAAGTATTCTAAGTTGAGAGATGACGTAAATATCTCGTTTTTGTTCAATTTGGGTCTGATACACTCCACACATTTTAGTACAACTATAACCAATACTCGCAAAGATAGTTTAAATTTTTATAAAAGCCATAAAAATGCGTAACAGGAGTAACAGCCTAGTAGGTAAGTAATACGATAAAATAAACCAACGGGACAGGGAATAGAGTGCAGGTAAGGATCCACAATTTTAGATTAAACGGGGAGTTGTTTTATTCTCACAAGTCCATAATTGCATTTCAACACATATAACGGAATAGGTGAATGACCGTTGACGATTTAAATTCATATTTTGCTTTAATGCATTGAATAGTAATTGACTAATAAGTCACTTGTTTTATAAGTTGTATTGGTGAATGAGCAGGCCCTGGTCGACGGTGACCATTTGCGTTGAGGTACTGCCGCCGTCACCATGGTTCTTGGCACCCCCATTGGTGGCGGTTGCAGTTCCATTCTTACTCGTGGTAGACACGAGTATTCATGGCCCTTGCAAGTGGCGTATTCCGTCGCACCTCAACGCAACTGGAGGAGTGCAACACATA